CTGGGCTGGGGTCAGGGTGGGGATGGGTTGGAGGTTGGACTCGGTGATCCTGAGGGTCTTTTCCAAGCTCTGTGATCCTGGGATTCTATAAACCAGCCTTGTTAAAAAGTCTGCACACGGCAGAGCAGGAGTGGCTGAGAACTAAACCGGGGGGGATTGAGCCTCACTGCGAAGGTGTGGCTGCCCAGGACGGATCCAGGCACAGTCACAGACTGGCTGTTTGTGCCCCGTGCCTGGTGTGTAAATGGTCTGTGTTGCGGGAGAGCCCGGCACTGGCCCGGCTGTGTCCCCGGGGAACACCCCAGGACAGGGCTGCACTCACTGAGAGTGAGGGGCAAAGGAAGGCACAAAACCGGGATTTTGGGGGAGAACTGGGGAACGCGGAGGGAAGCGGGACGCGGCTCCCTCCGTTCCTCGGTGGAGGCAGCACCAGGCGGTGTGATGGTGTTACCCTGGAAACTGCTCTGCCCAGCTCCTGCCCGCCCGGTGCCAACCGCGTCGCCATGGGAACCCTTGTCCCCGCCGCTGGGGAACAAAGGATGGGGAACTGCAGCGAGGAGTCCCCTTCTCCCACCCTCCCTCCGCGCACGGCAGGCGAGGCACGGCTGGAACGTGAGGCACAGAGGGGTTTGCCTCCCTCCGAGCCACAAACCTGTCAAAAATACCTACCCCGGAGTGGGTCTGTCGCCACCCCAGTGCATGTCGTGGTGCTCCTGCCCTGGTTTCATTCACCAGGGAAGTAAATCGGGACAGGAGATGTGCAGCTCCCCCCAGCAACACGTGCAAAGCCACCAAGAGGTAAATTTGATAAAGATCAACCCCCTGATCGGGATTTTGGGAGAGTTTACCCTCCTGTGGTCCTGCAAACTTCCCCACACGTTCCCATGGGCAGTAATATCTGCTGTGTCCCCTCAAGGAGGATCAGCTCCTTTGGCTTAGGCAGATAATGAGATCATCCACAGCTCCACTGGCTCAGATTAAACATGGATAAGGTTCTGAATCCTCCTGCTCTAGAGACGACTCTGAGATGAAGAGGATGAGGAGGAAGTTGTCCCATGAGCACTTTATTCCACCTTTGTCCAGCAGAGGATTTGCAGGGAGCTGCTACTGAGGAAGGATCCGCAACTCCCTGTATGGTGAATGAGTTCCCGCACCGGGCTGGCCGTGGGTGAGGATGGTGACATTGTAGCCCTTGGTGACACCCTGGAAATGGGGGAAAGCAAACAAAACAGCCATCCCCCCTTTGCCTAACCGGGAATACGTCATCCAGACTCCATCCCACCTCCTCAAAGGCGTTTTAAAGGAAGAGCTGGAAGTAAACATCAAACAACTGCCTGATCTTCGCTTGCCACCAGAGTGTAATTATTAAGAAATTAGCATATAAATCAATGTTTTTCTCTCAAAACTGGAAATCTGGAAGCAATGCAGGTGTTACAAAGCAACTGACAACACTTAGGAAACCAGAATGTTTTTGTGATAGGGCATAAAAATCCTAAAGAACCCAGAGTGACAATTAGAACTCTGGTTGGTTGTGGAGGTCCAAAGTCTTCAGCTTTGAACGATTTTCTCTTAGCAAACTTCTCACTGTCACTTCTTCCTATTTCAGAGAAGCATGATAGGAACAAAAAATACTTGCATTTCTTAGGGCTTGAATAAAAAAATTAACCTATTAATCTAATAATCTGTTGTTTCAGACTCTGCTTGTTCTCATGATCAGAAACTTTTATCTTAAAACCATCACGAGCCACCTAACCCGTGTTTCCTCTACTTCTTCTTCCAACAAAATTGGGTTTTTTGCTCAGCTGGTTCTTCCTCATCCCAGCTGTTTTCCATGCTGAGGTGCTAACAAGGAAATAAAGAGATCCCCTCTCATTTTGCCAGTCTAAGCCAGGCTCAGGTTCCCCATCTTCTCTAAGGTTTCTCTCACTTGACAGTAAAAATGTCCCCAAAATCATCAGGAGTATTGTTTGCCCCCTTTAGGACCTGTTCATGAGAACCTCTGCTCTGGAGCCAGGCTGGGAGAGCTGGGGGGGTTCACCCAGAGAAGAGAAGCTCCAAGAAGACCTGAGAGCCCCTTGCAGGGCCTAAAGGGGCTCCAGGAGAGCTGGAGAGGGACTGGGGACAAGGGATGGAGGGACAGGACAATGGGACAGGGAATGGCTTCCCACTGCCAGAAGGCAGGGATAGATGGGATATTGGGAAGGAATTTCTCCCTGTGAGGGTGGGCAGGCCCTGGCACAGGGTGCCCAGAGAAGCTGTGGCTGCCCCATCCCTGGGAGTGTCCAAGGTCCCTGGGCTGGTGGGAGGTGTCCCTGCCCATGGCAGGGAATGAGATGATCTTCAGGGTCCCTTCCAACCCAAACCATTCTAAGATTCTACAACATAAACATCCACCTAAAACAATTCAATGTAATCTCTTCTTGGTGTTTCTGCCGAATGCTAAAAATGTGGGGTTTTTTCTTCCCAATGTCCCAGCCTATTACCAGGACAGTTTGCCCTCCTGCACCCCAGGGCTGCAGCTAAACCTCCTCAAGTGAAGGACAGGGCTGTTTCTGTCCATAAATCACAGACTCCCAGAATGGGTTGGGTTAGGAGGGACCTGAAAGCTCCTCTCCTTCCATGCCCTGCCATGGGCAGGGACACCTTCTGGGGTGGGGAAGGTCAAGGGGATCCTGCTCCACTTGGGATCAGCTGTCCATGTCCAGCTCCTCAGCCCATGTCCCAGGCCACGTGTCCACAGAATCACAGAACATCCTGAGCTGGAAGAGACCCACAGGGATCATCCAGTCCAACCCCTGGCCCTGCCCAGACACCCCAACAATCCCACCCTGTCCCTCAGAGCATTGTCCAAACCCTCCTGGAGCTCTGGCAGCCTTGGGGCTGTGCCCACTGCCCTGGGGAGCCTGTTCAGTGCCAACCACCCTCTGGGGGAAGAACCTTTCCTGAGATCCATCCTGACCCTGCCCTGGTACAGCTCCAGCCATTCCCTGGATCCTGTCAGTGGGCACAGAGAGAAGAGAATGGTGCTGCCCACTGTGAGGAGGCTGCAGCCCCCGATGAGCTCTGCCCTCAGGCTCCTCTTCTCCAGCCTGAACAGACCAGGTACCCTCAGCCAGTCCTTGTATGGCTTCCCCTCAAGGCCCTTCACCATCTTTGTCGCCTCCTTTGGACGCTCTCCAATGGCTTTAATAACTTCGTTGTGCCCAAAACTGCCCCGCGTGGGGGTGCACGGTGTTTGCCTGGTGCCCACCCTCCTGCAGGAGCGGGTCGGTGATGTCGCTGTAGCCGCGGGCGGTGCCGTGGGCGGTGCTGTGCTCAGTTCCGTGCTCTGTTCTGTGCTCCTGGCTCAATGCCCCAGCGAAGGTGACCTCTCTGGGGGGCTCTCCGGGGCCGTGGGGTTCGGAGGAGGCACCAGCCCCATGCTGCCCACGCTGACCATTGCCCAGCACCCCGGGATGGCCTCGCTTGCTCAGGGGCCGGCAGTGAACAGCCAGCTTCACCATCGCCCTGCTCACCCCACACGCTGGGGTCATCCCACCCACCGGGGTCACCCCACACGCCCAGATCAGCACCCCACACACCCAGGTCACCCCATATACCTGGCTCACCTGACACAAACACAGGGGTCAGCCCCACACACCCAGGTCAGACTCACACAACACGATCAGCCCCTCACACCCAGATCAGCCCCACACACACCCAGGTCACCCCACACACACCCGGGTCACCCCATACACACCCGGGTCGCCCCATACACACCTGGCTCACCTCACATACACCCAGATCGGCCACACGCAGCCCAGGTCAGCCTCCCCCACACCCAGATCAGCCCCGCACACCTGGGTCAGCCCCACAACACCCTACTCATCCCCACACACCCGGGACACCCCACCCCCCCCCATTAGCCCCCGACCCCGCGTCGATCATTCCCACACACCCAGCCCCTCGCGGTGGGGTCAGTCCCCCACTCCCGGGTCACTCCACACACCCGGGGTGCTCCCCGGCGCTTACTCGGCCGGCATGGGGGACACAGGTGGGGGCACCCCAAACCCGGGGGCTGCTCCCCTCGGTGGGTGGGAGCGCTCACCCCTCGCTGGGGACACGCAGGGGAAGAAGGACCCCCGAGCCGGGGGGGATGGGGGAGAAGGGAGAGTATGGAGGGAAAGACCTGGGGAAGGAAAGGGGGGACTGGCAACAAACCTGAGAGGGGACTAGGGCAGGTCGGGGGGAACCTGAGGGGATCCGTGAGGGGAAACCCTGAGGGGAGACTGGGGGGAAACCCGAGGGCAGGAAACCCTGGGGCAACTTCTGGGAACAGGGACGAGCCGAGGGGGGGCTGAGCGAGGGAAAACACGAGGTGACCGTGCCGGTGCCGGGCGGGGCCGAGGGAGCGCAGGGGACCCGGAGGGGGTCCCGTGGGCTGAGGGTCCCGAGGGGTGCGGGAGGTCGGGGGCACACGCACGCCTGGGGGGATATGAGGGTGCGTGCCCGCGTGTGCAAGGGGAGGGCACGAGGACACGCGTGCACGATGCGGTGCACGGGGGCACACGCGTGTGGGAACCAGGAGCAGGGGGCCCTGAGCGTGTGTTGGCGCCGGTCCCCGGCTGTCCCAGCGCACGGGTGTGGCCCCCGCGAGGGCGATCTCCTGCGTGTGCCACCACGCGTGTGTGTGAGTGCACGGCCGCAGCCGCGCGTGGGGCTGCACGGGCACGAGGCGCCGAGCTCGCACGCGTGTGGGAGTGCAAGGGCACAGCACACGGGGTGTGACAGCAGGAGCACAAACACCCGGTGCAGTCGTGCAAGCGCGTGGGTGAATCACGCGAGTGTGCAGGGGCTGCGAGTGCACGGGTGCAGCTCGCGAGGGTGCGCGGGCAGGAAGGACGGCGTGTGGGCACACGGGTGGGCACACGGGTGGGCACACGGGTGGGCACACGGGTGGTCACACGGCGGGGCGAGTGTGAGGAGCCCGCAGAGCCCGCTCCGGATGCACAAGAGCCGTTTATTGCCGGACAGCGCGCGCAGCCCGCGGGAGGCAGGGATGGATGGATAAGGCAGATGGCAGCCAGTTAAAGCTCGGGGGTGGGGGGCAGCCGTGCACGGGGAGGGGGATCCGGGCCTACCCCCGCTCGTGCTGCACCCCGATGGGGGCAGAGGGGGTCCAGGCCGACTCCCCCCCGCAGGCGCCGGCCCCGCCGCCGGGGTCCCGCTCCTCGTAGCCGGGGTTGCGGTGGCCGGGGGCCAGGCGGCAGAAGCAGCTCCCCGGAGCCCCCGAGTAGTGGGCCAGGAGGGCGGCCACGCTGGCGAACTCGGCGTTGGAGTGCTGCAGTCGGCACCGGGGCGGGAGGGGAGAGGGGAGCCCTCCGTGAGGGCCGTGCAGGGATGCCCACGAGCCCGTGTGCCCACGCGGCTCCGCACCCCTGGACTGAACGTACCCCACACCAAACACCTATGTACCCGTGGACGAGCACACCCACACACTAACACAGACAGGTACCCACAGACCCCGGGCACCCACACCCTGGGCACATGAGTCAAAGAGAGCCGTGCACCCCCCGCCCCCCTGCCCCCGTGTGCTGCTGCACTGGGGTACCGTGCCCCTGTGTGCACTCACAGCTGCCCCTGTGCACTGATGCACCCCCAGATCAAAGGCCTGTAGGGCTGTGAGTCAAACACACCCCTGCACCTCTGCACCAGGTACCCACGCACAGATGTGCTTGAGCACCCACGAATCGGATGTTTTTACACGCCGAAGTGTGGGAGCAATGACACACCCACACCTGTGGGTGCCTGAGTGCCGTGCACAGGTGTACCTGTGCCCCAGTGCACCCACAAATCAACGTGCCCAGGCCCTGACACCCCCGAGCACCCCACACAGGTAACCCCTGAGCACTGACACCCTTACACCCACGTGCATCCCCGCACCAAGGCACCAGTTCTTCATGGACAGAGGGACCAACTGCACCTGCACGGCATGTCAAATGCACGGACACACCAGCGCATCCATGTCCCAGCGTGTCACTGTACCCATGTCCCGATGTGCCAGTGCCTCCATGCACAAGTGCACCGACACACCAGGGCACCCGTGCACTAATGCATCCAGTGCTTGTTCACACCAGAACATCCCTGCACCAAGGCACCAGTGCATCCACGCACAGACACACCCAGTGCACTCACAGCCCGGTGCATCAGTGCACAAAGGCACAAAGTGCACTTTTAGCCAACACGCTGATGAATCCATGCACAGGCACAGCAGGTGTTTGTACACATCGGTGCATCCATGCACAGGGGCACCAAATGCCCTTACCCACTCCATCCATGCATCAAAGCACCAGTGCAGCCCTGCACGGACGCAGCAAATGCACTTTTACCCCAGTGCACCCCCCCCAGACACATCCCATGCACTTACCCAGGTGTAACCCTGCGCTGCTGCAGCCCCTCAGCGAACCCACTCGTGCACCCGACCCCCCCGACCCGCGGTCCCCGCGCAGCCCCCGGCTCACCTCCACGCAGAACCTGCCCTGGTGCGTGCGGAGGAGGCCGTAGGGCACCACGCCGCAGGGCGCCCGCACCCACAGGCACCAGCGCTTGGGCAGCCCGGGCTCGGGGCGCAGCAGGAAGGCTCCGGGCGCGTCCCGCCGCAGCAGCGCGACCCCCGCGTCCCTGGGGACGAGGCGGCGGGGTGGGCACGGGGCGTGGGGGGCCGCAAGGTGGGCGAGGGGTGGCCCACGCGAGCTCACCTGGCGATGCCGGCGAAGGCCCACACGCTCTCTGCCAGGACGCTCTCGTTCTCGGGCAGGAGGGCCAAGCTCCGAGCGCCTTTGCTCTCCCATCCTGCGGGAGCCCGTTAATCCCCCCTTTGCCCCCAGAGCCCCCCGACACCGTGGGGCCGTGTGTGTCCCCCCGTGTCCCCCGTGGCACTCACCGGCGTCGCGGGGGGGCTGGTGGAGCTGCCCCTCGGCCCCGCAGTCCCGGTAGGCCCCCGAGCGCAGCACTTTGCTGCGGATGGCTTTCTTGCGCACCAGAACCGGCGAGCAGTAGGGGTTCCCCGGGCGCCAGGAGCCGGCTCTGCCCTCTGCCTCCGACCGCCGGTCCTGGGGAGAGGATGGAGCGGCTGTGAGAGGGGGTTGGGGGTTCTGCCTGTGGGGAATGGCGTGTGAAAACACCGGGCACAAAAAAGGCGACACCAAAAACGAGATAAAGGTGCTGCGCCAAAAAAAGCTACACCAAGAATGTGACACCAAAAGACGCAACGCCAAAAAAAAACCCCACACAGCACCAAAAAGGCAACACCGAAAACGCGACACCAAAATGTGACACCAAAAATGAGACGAAGATGCTACACCAAAAAAGCTACGCCGAGAATGTGATACCAAAAGGTGCAACTCAAAAAAACAAAACAAAACAAAACAAAACAAAACAAAACAAAAAACCAAAAACACAACGCCAAAAAAAAAAAAGTGACACCAAAAAACTCGACAGAGACGCGACAACAAAAATGAGATACCGGAGGTGCAACACAAAAAAAATGCTGCATCAAAAATGTGTCACCAAAAATGCAACATCAAAAAAAAAAAAAAAAGCAACACCAAAAAATGTGCCACCAAGACACCATGCAGAAAAAAATACTGAGGGGAAAAATGCAGTGGAAAAACTGCAACGCCAAAAACGCCAAAAGTGAAAAACGCCATGCAGGAAAACGCTGTGTAAAAAAACGCAACACCAAAAAAAGTTATGGAAAATACCACGCAGAAAAATGCTGTGCAAAAATTGCAACACCAAAAAATGCAACAGCAAAGATGAGCCATCAAAGACGTGACACCGAAAATGCTGTGCAGAACACCATGCAAAAAAAGGGTGTGCAAAAAACCAAAAAGCCATGTGAAAGGTATTGGGGAAAATGCAGTGAGAAATGACACGCAAAAAGCACCCTGCAAAAAATACCGTGCAAAAAAAAAGTGCAAAAAAGTGATGTGCAAACCATGATGTGCAAAACACCTTGGAAAAATGCCACCAAAAATCACCAGGGAAAAGATGCCAGGCGAAAAAAAGTCACGCAAAAGATGCCGTGCAAACCACACTGCAAAGGATACTGTGCAAAAAAAAAAAACGCAGCACAAAAAGGGATGTGAAAAAATCCCACTTTCTTTACAAGAAATGCCACATCAAGACAGCCATGCAAATCACCACACACACACACAAAAAGCCATGTAAAAAAGTTATACGAAATAATTCCGTGTAAAAAAAGTTATACAGAAAGATCCAGTGGAAAAAAAAAAAAAAAAGTGCAGTGCGAAAACAGCGGGGGAAAAACGCCCTGCAAAACTGATGTGAAAAAAAAATTGCTGTGCAAAAAAAGAACCCAACGCTGCTGTGCAAACAACCCCCAGATGCCAAATTCCAGGCAGGAAAAGGCTGTCAAGGAAAAACCATTCAAAGTAGACTGTGCGAGGTGAGGACGGGCTGTGCAGGGTGGGCCCCGCCGAAAGCACCGGGCGAAAATGTGCCCTCCAAAATCCGCGCAGGAAAGGGAGGCGTGAAGGGCTGCACTCAAACAGCCCCGCAAAGGGGACACGCCAGAAAACGCCGCGTAAAAACCCGCTAGTTGGTGACGGGGGGTTCTCTGCGGGGCCGGGAGCTGGGCTGGGCTGGTCCCGGGGGGGTCCTTGCCGACCCAGAAGAGTCAATGAAACGCCGTGCGAAGGAAAACGGTGCTGTGCAAAAGCACGAGTGAGAAAACACCGCAGGTGTGGGGAGAGCCCCTGCAGAGCAGCCCCTCGGGAAGGGCTGGTGGGCACCTACCCCTGTGCCCAGAGCGCCCAGGCCGGCGGGCGCGGGCAGGCGGCGGAAAGACACCAGGGCGTTGACGTTGCGGGACACCTCGTCGGGGTTGAGGGGCTCCCGCAGCACCCCCGGCCCCGGGGGCTCCCCCTGCTCCTGCTCCTCGGGGTGAGCCAGGAGGTGGCAGAGCTGGAAGCAGCGGCAGAGCAGGAGGTGCAGGGTCTGGACCTGGGGGGAGGCGAAAGACGCTGCGTGCAAATCGTACGAACACTGATAATTGTGGTGGGTTCAGGGGGATGGGGGAAGGGTTTGGGCCACCACCTCTCCCGGGAGCCCCACGAAGAGGTGGCAGAAGAGGGTGCTGGGGGGACTGTGGGGGTTGCGGGCCACGAAGGCGAACTGGCGGTCAGCGAGGCAGCACGTGCTGTACAGGATCCGGCGGAGAGCGTGGGCCATCAGCAGGGTCTGGGGGACCAGGGGGGGTCAGGGGGGCTCAGCACCCCTGGGGGATCCCCCCAGGGTCACCCCAGTTCGCCCAGAGGGTTACAACCCAAATTACAGACGCAAAGCAGGGTCATGAGCGAAAAGCTCAGAGAGGTGCAGCCTCCCCCGGGCACCTTTCCAGCAGCACCCAGCACCTCCCCAGCACCCCTGACCCCCCTTCCAGCACACCTGACAACCCCCAGCACCCCTGATCCCCTTCCAGCACCCTGATCCCCTCCCAGCACCCCTGACCACCTCCCTAGCACCCCTGACCCCCCTTCCCAGCACCCCTGACCACCCCTAGCACCCCTGACCTCCACTTCCAGCATCTCTGAGCCCCCAGTATACATGACCCACCCCACAGTGGCCTCTCCCCAACACACCTGACCCTATTCCTCCCAAACACCCCTAACTTCCCTCCCCAGCACTCCTGACCCCCCTCCCCAGCACCACTCACCCCCACCCAGTAACTCTGACCCCCCTCCCCAGCACCCATGACTGCCTCCCCAGCACCCCTGACCACTCCCCAGCACCCATGACTGACAACCCTCCCCATCAGCCCTGACCCCCTCCTCATCACCCCTGACCCCCTCCCCAGCACCCCTGACCCTCCCCAGCACCCTGACCCCCCTCCCCATCAGCCCTACCTCCCCATCAGCTCCGTAGACCTTCAAACCCTTGCAAACTGAACCTCAGCACCACCAACCTCCTCCTGGGACAGTCCTGCCCGGGGGACATGTGGCACTAGGGGGGCCGGGCTGTGGCATCCGGGGGTCCCCCCCGTGATTCAGGGTCCCCCCGTTTCCCGGGGAGGGGGAGCAGTGGCAGATGCCCCACCTTGAGCCCCCGCAGCTGCTCCTCCAGCCGCCCCACCTGCTGCTGCAGGTCCAGCTCCTCCACCACGAAGGATCCCACGTACTGGGGGGGCAAAACCCACCCGTGTCAGCAACAACCCCCCCCGATGCTGCAATTGCTGCCCCCCAAGGCAACCAGCCCACCCTGAGACGGTGTTTTGGGGGATCAGAGGGATGCAGCTGCACACAAACCCCACCTAGGGGACGCGGGGGTGTCCCCCCCATGGGTAAGTCAAGTCACCTCGGCTGGCTTGGTGACACCCCGGGCTCGCTGCTGGGGGGCCGCAGGGTCCGACCCCCGCCCGTTGGACAGCTTCTTCTTCATGGCAGTGGGGTTTTGGGGGTGAAGGCTGGATCAGGATGGGGTTAAGCAGCTCCTGTGCCACATCTGAATTATTCGGGGGTCCCCCGGGCTGGTGGTGCTGGAGCGCTCGGTGGGAGCCTGGATGTGGCCCCTGGTCACTGTCCCTGTGAGGAGGGAGGGGACAGACACAACCTGCCCCCAGTGTCCCCCGTTCCCCGTCCCTGCACGGAGCTCCCCAAGCCCTGACGCCAATGCAGATGTCCCCAGGTCCTGTCCCCATCGCAGGGGTTCTTCCAGACCGGCCCAAATAAAAGGGTCCCAAAGTCCCGACCGCAATCCCAAAATGAGGATCCTGCATCCCAGACCCAGCACGAGGGTCCCCGTGTCCCAGCCCCCTGTGACCTGTCCCTCTGTGACCCCAGGTGCCATGCGAGGCTCCCCACAGCCTGACCCCAATCCCAGACACCACAGTCCCAGTGTCCTGATCCCAAGTGCAGTGTGAGTGTCCCCGTGTCCTGCCCCTGAGTTCCACGCGAGGGTCCCATATCCCCACTCCAAGCAGGATGCAGGCAGTCCCTGCGTCCTGACCCCGAGGGGATTGTGAGGAGCCCCAGCTCCCAACCCTAAATGTGATGGATGCAGTCCCCACATCCCACCCCCAATCAACCCCAAGAGATCCCTGCATCCCGAGCACACAGTCTGCACCCCAAGCGAGGTGCACGTGCAGCCCCCCATCCCAAACTGCAGCAAGATTTTTAAGGCTCCCACCCCATCCTTCCCCTTCTCCCAGCGCTCCATCCCCGTCCCTGCTGTCCATGCATTCCGACCCCGCGTGGCTGTCCTTCAGGGGTGATCCCCAAAACACCAGCGATGGGGGGCAGCAGCTTTGGGGGTGCTTTCTCGGTCAGAGCACCCACCAAGGGACTCGCCAGGCCCCTCTCCAGACACCCCAAGGGGGTCTGTGCTCCCTCGGCCGGGCTGAGACCGGCGCAACTCGTGTCACGGAGCCGCAGCCGCCTGGGGGCAAACACATGGGAAAGGAGGGTCCGGCTGCACCAGGTGCGGCCTCATGAGGTGTGGGGGGTCCCTCCGGCGCCGCCATCCCCGTTACAAGCTCAGGTTGGCCCCTTCTCGTTCCGGCGCAATTTGGGGGGTCTCCCCCCCTCCCCCAGCCAATCGGCGGACGGGCAGCCCCCAAGCCCCGCCCCGCTGTTCCCACGCTTCGTTCCTCAGTGGAGCCCCCGGCCCACCTGGGGGGCCCCGAGGGAGGGATGCCGACCCCAAAATTTGGGGCTCGCGTGAGGGTGTGAGTGACAGCGGACACCGAGCATCCCCAGGGACCCCCATCCCGCCGGGCCCCCATCCCGGCTCACGGGCAGCTCTCGCTCGGGTGGCTCCGGAGAAACGCAGGTGAAAAATTGCCGGTGCTGCGGGTCCCGGCCTTCGCTGGTTGTTTTCCCTTCGCCGGTGGCTCCTCCGGCAGCTCCCGCCGCGGCGTAGGGATGCTCGGCCCGTGGGCGTCAGGCCCTCGCCGCCAGCCAGGCCCCGGCGAGCCCGAGCCCACGGAGCCCACGCCGGGCACGGGGCAGGCAGCGAACTCCCATTTCCTGCCTCCGATCTGCCCGCGATGAATCACCGCAATTTTCCTCCCCGGTTCTCTCCGTTTCTTGGAAGCGACGGCGAGCAGGAGCGCTGGCTCCGGCTTTTTGGAAAACGCGGCTGCGGCTGATTTTCTCTCTCCCTTTCCCCCCTCTCCTCCAGCGCGCCCGGCGGAGCAGCGATTTCTAACCCAGACACGTACACACGTGGTCGCTCGCTCGCCACCCCCTGCCCTGGCGCTCAGAACCTTTTCACCCCCCAATTTCTACATTCCTTGGGGAGTTTTGCCCACTGCTGCCTGGTTTGGCTAGAAAAAAAATAAAGAGGGATGGCTCTGACCCCACTGCAAAGCACCCGCGTAGCCCAGAGCCTCCCCAGCACCCTCTGGCCGCCTGAGGCGAAGCTGCTTCCAGCCCCAGGGATGCTCTTGGCTCCCGGGATGGGAAAGCAGCAGTCTGGGGAGGAGATGGTGTCTAACGCCCTGGGATGCATCCGAAAATCCCTGTCTCGTGCCCCAGTGATCCCAAGGGTGCAAGGAAAAGGGTCCAACCGGTGGCATTCAAACCTTGGGTCACTGCCAGCACCAGCTGCTTCGAGACACCGGGAGATGCGCTGGCAGAGCCACCGGAACAATCAATAGCGTAGAAACTGGGGAAAAAAGGAAAAAACAGGACAGATGGGGCTGAAGAAATAACATAACGGAGCCCAGTCTGGCCAGGAAGCGGAGACTGGAGAAGAGCGAGCGGTGGAGGCAGCACAAACCTCCTGGGATGCACTCGCTCCGTTGGCAGTGAAGGTTTTCCCACACAATCCCTGTCACTGCTCCTGGGAAGCAGGGATCAATCCTTTGGACTAAATACGACCAGCCCTGTGGCTTTTGGCTTTGGCTCAGTGTGCAGAAATCACCTAATTCAAACCACAGCCAAGGAAGCTGGTGATGACCGAGGGAGCCAATGGCTGGGTTGGCACAACCCAAAATTCGAGGTGCACCTGCTCAGGTGTGAGAAATCAGTGTCGGCCAGAGCAGTGTTTTAAAAAATCATCTGTGGGGTTGTTGGTGTTGGAATGTTACTGGGAAGAGGGAGGTGGCAAAATGCCCAGTGGTTGAGTGAGGACTCCGTGTCCCCATAAATATCCTACCACTGAGAGAAGTTTCTCAGGTTTGACTCACTGCAACGCCAACAAACCCCGCCGTTTCGGCACAAGCAGCCCCAGGAACGAGCCATTAACTAATGTTTCTAATTGCTTTACATGCCTGTGGATTATTCTTTGATTGGAGCTTTCACTCTCCCTTTCCCATCAGCTGTGACTTTTTGCCTGCTGTTTGCACACTTCTTACAGGGCTGGGAACAATTCGGGCCATTTCTATAGGAATTTTTTAACTCCCTGGTGTTAGAGGCAGCACACTGGGACAGCAACTGAAAAGAATAAATTCAATAAGGCTATTTTCTCCCTTTCTGTGTGTGTAATTCCCCTCCTCTCAGCACAGTTCGTGCACAGCTCTTTGCAAAGGCACGTTGGAGACTGTCAGATCCCATCGGAATCGCTGCCCTGGGCACGGCTGAGCTGGGGACGTGGCAAGATGTGCTTTGAAGGTGCTGCTGTGTTGAGCAGGGCAGGGGGAGGAGGTTTCAGCTGGGCTTTTTTGGTCCCCGCTGATCCCACGGGGGAAGAGGTTCCAACAGAGCTTTCTTCTCGCTCACCTTTGTCTCCAGAAAAAACAGGGAAGAGAAAGGTCAGGAGTTGGTCCAACTACAGAGCTTGGCAGGGGCTCAGGCTAAATCACACTGGCACTGTGCTTTTAACAAAGATCTGCCTCTGCAGCAGTCCCTGGGGACTGTACTCCCTCCTCTCTACCTTTCCAGGAGGAGAAGCTGTGGCGAGGAGAGAAAGGACACAGGAAGCAGGCCTGGAATCTAGTTTCATTTTATTTTAGCAAACCGCATGTTCTTCACTTATCAACATCTCTACATTAGCAATTGTATAGCTCTCCAACTTCTCTTTAAAAAAGGGTAAACAAGAGGGGACAAACTCAGGCTTTTTTTTTTTCATCTCTTAAAAACATCTGAAAGTTGGATTCGAGAAGACTCTGATATATTTTGGTTTTCAGGTAACAGATGTGGCGTGGAAACACTAATTCAAATCCCCCGCCTGATCGAGAACTGCCCCTTTTGGAGCCCCTCTGGCACCAGACCCTCAGGAGAGGCCGAAGATGCGACTCACCCTCGTCACACAGCCCTGGAGGAGCTGGGTGTGCCCCACCCTCAGCCCGTGGCTCTGAGGAAAGCAGCACCTCGGGGCTCAGTGCAAGTGCTGTATGTACACGGCTCCCCCACGGGAGCGCCAAGGCCCTCGGCATGCAGGGATGTGGGGAGGACTCTTCTGCCGCGGCACCTTCTCATTAGAGAATCACATTCCCCCAGTCATCCTGTTCCTGCTGTCTAAAGATATAAAGATCTTCTTTGAAGAATTGTTTTAAAAGCCAACCCTCCCCCCGGAACCCACGCGGAACACCGTAAATGTACAGATTAGAGACGCCCTAGAAAAGTCCTAAAATTATTGCAGAAACTAAAGATGACTCGTTCCAGGGGAGGGGCAGGCACGAGGCACAGCATCGAGATCTACCGAACGCTCGGGGCGGTTTGATTTAGTTTTCAGCTTTTTCCCCATTCAAGAAAAAAAAAAAATTAAAAAAAAAATTAAAAGAAGTGTTTAAGCATCAGAACTAAAATACAAATGCACGTTGACTTATAAAACAAGATTGTGGATTTGACCATGGGGTTCCCTGACACTGGAAACATTTTACTTTTTTGCCCGGAGAGATTTCCTCATGGTGGATTTGCCCTTAGGCGAGGGTTTCACTTCCTTCCTCCCGCTGGCTGCTGGTTTCTTGGAAGAGCTGCCCCCAGAGGGTTTCTTGATGGCTGGGGCTGCTGGTTTGGCTTTCTTAGCAGGGGTCTTAACCTTGGGAGGGGGCTTTGCTTTCCCCCGGCGGGCTGCGGGGGTTTTCCTTGGCTTGGGTTTGGACTCTCTTCGCTTCATCGGAGGGGCCCTGCTCCGGGATTTGGGAGGTGGTCTCTTCTGCATCCTGTCAGGAAGAGAGACAGCACAGGAGCTCAGTGGAGGTGTAAGGGTGCCAGGAGCAGAGCTGCTGTCAGCAACAGGCAGTAACGAGGCAGATCTTGGCATCCCTGTTCTTTGCCACGGCTGCTCCTCACGCAGCAGCACATTCCGTGAGCTGCATCCCAAAGAACAAGAGCTCCTCCGGTAGCTCTCACCACGCTGAGCTCTGCCCATCCCCACAGAGCTCTGCCAGAGAGGCTTCCAACCCCTTCCTTAGGCAAATAAACAAATAAATAATGACAGTGAATCAGTGAGCTGTCAGAACAATTAAGAGCCCTCAGCACTCCCTCTCCTCTCTAAATGGAATTTCATTACTTAATGAACAACACATCTTAAATCCACATTCTGAGTGAGGGCAGCTCTCTTGTCTGGCTACAGAGCTGCAAATAATACTGTAGGGAAGAGTTTTCCTAAGGAAACACTTGGTAAATACAAAAAGCCCCGTGTGAAACATCCCACTTTATAAAGCAGGAGACTAAAGGCAATATGAAGAATAAACACAGGTTCTCTCTCAGCTGGAGGAAGAAAGAGGAAAGCTTCAAATTATGGAAAGGGGAAGATCAGTATCTCTGGAGCAAGGAATAATTAGAAACTTCTCCTTCCAACACCTGTGAGCAACATTCCTGTGGATAAATGACCACACCAAGAGTCACCTGAGCCCTCTACAGCTGTGACAGACACTTTCATTTCATCCAAAGGAGCCCACTCATCTCTCATGCTGCCATACCTCTTCTTTGGTGGGGGCTCTTCCTCCTCAGACTCTTCCTCTTCAGATTCTTCTTCCTCCTCAGATTCCTCCTCTTCTTCCTCATCAGATTCCTCGGAGTCCTCATCCTGCTGCTTCTCTGGGTAGAGCACATCTGGGCTACAAGAGGGGGCTGCTCAGAGTGTGAGTTGCCTCTAAGGATATGACTCCAGGGTTGGCAGGCCTTGGATAGCCCTGGCTCTCCTCTGGCACAGCAGATTCCCCCTGAGGTTACAGCTTTGAGCCTAACCTAGAAATGCCCCCAGAATTCTGTGATTGCTGCTATCCCAAACCAACATTCCCCAGTCTCTGCAGTGGTAGAAGCACAACAGCTTGGGAATGCCCCAGGCCTCTTCTCTGGCTCTTTCCCTGATTGCTCCTTCCCTGCAAACCCTGCTAATGAAATCAGCTCTATGTTCACCCAAGCAATGTCATCAGCCAGAGTAAGGGGGACAGTTTGGCAGCTCATCAGTTTCTAAACCCCTCACAACCTCCTTGTAAATAGAAGGTTGGCTCATAAACCTCAGCTCTGCAACCTGACCCGTGCAACAACTTCTCTTGAACATCATTTTACAGCCAAGCTCTTTACCTGGGATAATAAGGGAAGCAAAGCTGAAAGGTTCCACTGAAGCCCTTGCCAGAAATTTGCTCCATCCAGCCATTCTTCTCACATTTCTGCAGGGTTCTCTTGAGTAGGTGCACTGTGGAAGAGAAAAGAAACCAGAGAGAGGTTGTGTTACTATCTTTGTCCTCTTGTCTGACTTCACTGCTCTCTGCAGTGCCCTCTGATAGGAGAGCTGGAGTCAGGATGGGAAATCCTCTCACAGCCAATTTTCAAGTAAGATGCAAGTGTTTTTGTTCCTGAGCACGTGGCAGGTGTAGCTCTACATTCTCAAGGGAAGAAGTCAAGAATGGTGCATGTTTCTGATGTCATGATCAAGGGATGCTCCTTCAAATGCATTCAGCAGCACCATGTAACTACTTCTGTCCAAATTTAACCCAGGTCTCATCTTTCTTCACCCTGTCCTCCAAAGGGTTTTTTTAAAACAAGCCTTTTTCCCTGCTTTTGCCCTCCTCATGTTCTAAATGTCATATGTGCTGCATCATTCCCTGTTCTGTGCTTTGCTTTTTGTTTTGTTTCCTAAAGGGTAAAATATGTGGTCTAGAAATACAACAAATGCACTTTTTATTCCAGTCTTTGATTCCAGATTTTTATTTCAGCCATTCCATTGTGCATTGGGTAAGAATTGCAACTCAAACCGTGCAAGTACAGGGGATCTTTGTCTGTGGCAAAGGGCTGTGGTGGTTTAGTCAGTTCAGAACCATTTCCAGCTTGAATTAGAGGGGCCATTTACATATTGAGCTCCCTCCAAACCCAGGGAAAAGTGGGGGCTGCCCTTTAAACACGTCCCAAAGAGGTTTATGGTTATAACCCCAAGGCTGGTTTTCCTCTGGGTACCAAAGATCAACAGCAGCATGTAAAGGATTTGACTGACCCCAGTCAAGTCCGGTTATAAGCTGAGGTATAAACTGGGGAGGAGAGCTGAGCTCTGGCTCTGCTTTCTCATCTCATCAGATTTTCCTCCAGTTGCTCTCAGAACAAAGCAGAGATCATCAAAATTCCTTTTACGTAACGGAAGGAGGAAGAAAACAACAGATTGCAGCTGAGATTTCTTTATCTGCCTTGCAGGAGTGACAAGCACTGGAGGCTGGCTCAGCACAGCCCTCTAAGGACCAGGGACATTTCCAACGGTCCTGAGAATAAACCATTCCAGGAAGGTTTATTCCAGTTAGGAAGCCTGGAAGCTCTTTTCCCTGCCCTAAGATTAAGAAGTCACACTTGACATCAGTCTCTAACTGGCAGAAGGCCTCAGCCCAAATTACCCAAATAAGCCACTCCCAGATCTGCTTTAAAGCTCTGATAGCATTGCTTCTGCTAAAGCCAACATCAAACCAGACATCAGTGTCACTCCTGGAAACAAAGACAAGCCACATCTCCTTCCAAATACAACGGGATTCATTTCTCTCCTCATCTGCTTGACCTTTTAAAAATCAGAGCCAAACAAGGACCTCGAACAAATCAGTAAGAGGGGTGCTCAGGAATTTTTTTAGAAGTCAGACTATGCAACTTCTCTAAATAAAAAGCAATTAGGAAGTGCACTGATAGCAAGCTGTCGCCTTTCAAAACAGAGAGAGACAGATGAAATCAACTTGGTGATTTAAGAGCAATCAAGTACTTGAATACTATTCCCCCTTCCTGGCTACAGACAAGAGGATCATGCATTCTGTCTCAGGAACAGGCCTTTGTCCGGCTTGAAAGGGACTGATGGGAATTAAAACCACTGAGCATCTCTGCAGCACAAAGAGCTGAGCAGCTGCAGCTCCCTGCAAGCTCGATGGAACAGTTTAAAGGTGCTGCACAGGCACATCTGCAGCTGCAGAACTCTGTCAGCACACAGCAGTGTGACATGGCTGGTACTTTACCCTGGAAGTTGGAGTTGGTCCCTGGGTAATTTTCCAGGATATACTTCTTCAGCGCTGTGGTGGAGCAGGTCTTCGGTTCGTTCATGGCCACAATAGCAGACAGGATGGCGTCTTCCATCAGAGTCCCACCCAGCAGGGGCTTCTCCCCTGATTTCTTCAGCTATTTTCCAAGGAGGAAGAGAAAAGCATCAAGACAAAATTCTCCCAAACCAGGTCAGGACAAGCTCCTCTGCACCAGGTGGGTCGGCGCTCCTGCATTAGCACAGATACGTTGAACATTAAACACTGCAGAGGGAACGCTGCTCTCCCAGCTCTCAGTGGGAGGCCAGGCCCAGTCAGTCAGCTGGCCTGGGGGGCTCATCAGCAACACCTCACCCCAGACCCCAAACACACCACCAGTCGCTCAGGGGAGGGGATAAAGCAAAACACATCAGATCATCCTCATCCCACGGACCAAATGTACCCGAGGGACTTCTGTGGCACAGACGTGAGTAAAAGACACAGCAGGCATCTGGGGTACCTGCTGCACTTCCAGTGAGGGATGGGAAGGAAGGCTCACCCCACCAGCTCCCTACTGTGCTGGTGAGTCAGAGCTGAGGCAGCGTGTGCAGCGTGCTCAGCAAGGAAACAGGGGGTCTGCTCCTGAAATGGAGACCAAGAGCAGACCAAGAGTCCTACTGCTTCAGAGCTGGACAAGGCCTGGACGTGCCAGGCCGCTGAAGAAAGGGGTGCCCAGTGAAACCAGGGGACAGGGCGCAGTAAGTGACATCCAAGGCTTGTGGTCAACAGAAGATGAACTCAGTCTCTGACCTGGAATGTCCCAGATGCTCCCTTCCCTGTGATCTGCTCTAACTGGCCCTTCTCTACAGCTCTCTGCAGGGCATTCTTCAACAGCTGGGGCCTGAAACACAGGAGGAGAAAGCTTTACTGACACACACTGACAGCTTCAAAAACAAACAGAGAAACAACCGTGTGCAGAGCGTGAGCAGAGCGGCGCTCACCGCGCTGTCTGCCCACGTACAGACACGGTAAATGGAGCCCTGTCAGGGGCTCGTGACACGGAACAAGGCAGCGCTGTGGGAGCTGAGCTGCAGCACCTGCTCGGTGCCTCTGCCAGGAACAGGCACCTGCCCTGGGCAGGATTCCCTCCCTGCAACAGCACAGCTGGGTGTGGTGGGCAGGCAGTCAGCTCACAGGTGACCAAGGGCTGACACGAGCCCCTGTTGGAGGTGACACACAGGGCTTTGCTTCCCAAGCCTCAACTCGCTCCCTACAGGCAAACTGTGAGGTTGCTGCACACGTGTGCCAGCTGAAGCACCCAGAACCACGTGGGATGAGACCCCCAGGCCTTCACATCCCCACAGCTGAGGGCACGTGGGTTTGGTTAAGGTGTGCAGAGCAGTGTCAGGGACAGACTGGGATGGGGGATGCAGAAAAAGGCACCGCTTTCCCTCAAGCTTTCCACAGGCTCTGCCACTCAGAGCAACACCTGCTTAAAGATGGGACTGAAGCACCATGGAGGGAGGCAGAGCCAGAGGAAGGCTGAGCTCCCCTGATCCTCTGCTTGCCAGAGGACTCCAGAACCTACCTTACGTCTACTTTGAGTTTGGGGTAATACTGAGACACGTATTTCTTGATCAGGCTGTAGGAAGCTTCCTTGGGCTCGCACAGGCGGGTGAAGGCCAGGGGCAGCACGTCCTCCAGCTTCACCTGCTGCTCTGCAGTCGGGGCCGAGGTGCTTTTCTGAAACACACACACCTGAACACATCAGCGAGGCCCAAAACTCTGGATTTCTGAACCACCAATGCCCAGGTGGGGAGAAGAGCTCCTGGCCACGGCCACAGAGCTGGAAAACCAGGTGCTGGAAGGTAGCTCTCTAAATTAACAACTTTAAAACCTTAAGTAAAAAGGAGCAAATTTGGCTGAACTTTCATAGGAGTCTTAGGAAAGCTTTACAAATACAAATTGCTGCGTATTTAACATTATTTTTAATGATTTCCTTCCTTTTTCTGTAGAAATTTTTCCTCTGCTACCCTTCAAAGAGACAGGAGAAAAATCATAGAATCACAGAATCATTAAGGTTGGAAAAGACCTTTAAAATCATTGAGTCCAACTGTTCCCCCAGTGCTGCCGGGGCCACCACTAAACATGTCCCCAAGGGCCACATCCACACGTTTCTTGAACACTTCCAGGGATGGTGACTCCACCACTGCCCTGTTCCAGGGCTTTACAACCCTTTCTGACACGAAAATTAAAACCCATCAAAGGCAGGACCCATCTACACAGATCAAATCTTCCCCAAAATGAGCAGCTAAACACGAGTCCATTTTTTTTCTGAGGTAACACAATAAGAGCTTGATTGAAGCCAACGCTCCCTTCTAAGTTTTCCTCCATCCTTTTTGTTACAGTGAGAGGGTATGATCAGGAAAGAAAGGTCTACTCTTTATAGAGAAAATGTGCTGAAGTTCAGTGATTTGATGCTGAACAGCAGCTCTGCAAACAGTCCAGTGGGTGAGGGAGCTGCTCCCCAGCCAGCTGAATTCACCAAAAACATTTGTTTTGCTGCCACACAGAGAAGGGAACTACAAACACAGACACCAAGAAGCTGCAGAGAGAAGTCATGTCTCAGCAGGTATCAGGTGCTTTGCTCACACTTCTCATGGGGCCAGTGGCCTCTGTTTAAAGAGCTACAATGCAATTACCTTCCTTCAGTGCCCTACACCGAGTGTGTGACCATTTCCCTCAGTTTTAGGGCTCTTGGTCTCCCTGGGAGGTCAGAGAGGAGCCCCCAGGGGATGGGCAATTCCAGGTGAGGATTTTGTGACTGCAGCATTAGGAATGTGTTTCACACACCCAGCACAGCACAGAGTGGAGAACAGCAGTGCTGGAGCCATGACTGACTGCGAAGCTCAAAAAACCAGCCCCATCACATTTGACTGCCTCAGAACAACACCCAACATCAGCAGGTTTCTTCCAGCAGCTTTAGGATTTTTTCTTCTTCCTCCCTCTGCCCTCACAGCTCATGGAAAAATGTTCACCTGGCAGTCCTGGAGACTGGAGTGCTCCCTTTATCCACACAACAGATAGAACAGACACAGCAGCAGTATAAAGCTCTCTTACAATACCTGAGAGGCATCTCTCTCTACCAGGTAAAGACAGAGGAGGAGCTTCATGGTTATTCAGTTTTCTGCCTCTGAATCAAAGCCTAGGGGTTTAATGTAAACATTTTAAAACTAAGAATTTGATCATTCAACTCGGTTTTCAGTTCTCATAGTAGCTTTCTGATTCTGATGTGAGTGGGAAGGGTGTTTTAATGACTGTGCTTGAGGAGGAGAAACACAGCAAGGAGGGGACACTCTCTGTGTAGGGATTAGGTACATAAAGTGTGTGTGTTTCAGTGCAAGATTTTTCAGAGAATGGTTTAAAATGATCCATCTTACCTTTCTGTCTCTGGCTTTTGGAACAGTTTTTCCTGCATTAGACACCACCACAAAGCTCCCAGAAGCTCCCTTTCCTTTCACCTAGTTCAAAAGAAAGTCCATTTCAGTCTTCAGTAGGGTAACTCAGAATAATATCAACTTGAGAGAGACTCACTGATATCATGACATCTCATGACATTGAATGTGTTGTCACCCTGGTGATGGCAGAGGCCTGATTTGAACCCACTTAAACTTCAATAAGATCAGAAGCTGCAGCCAGACATTAATAGAGACTCTGCTGTCCTGAGCAGGAGATCCTGGCAGATAACACAGGCATAAATTGCAGTGTTAGAAACCCACTGCTGGACTCCTGGGTGCTGCAATGCTGTGTGACACAACCCCCAGAAACGGTCAGTAATTGCACAAAAACCAACTGTGCAAAGCAGCTGAGTGCCAGAACAGTGCTGAAATCTGTCAGGTCTAACAGAGTGGAGACAGAGCCTCATTAACCTCCACTAGGGAGAACATGGTCAACCCAGACACCTCCATTAGCAATGGAGTCAAGAAACTCCTGTGTAAGTCACAGGATCATGGACTGGTTTGGGTTGGAAGGGACCTTAAAGCCCATCCAGTCCCAGCTCCTGCCATGGGCAGGGACACCTCCCACCAGCCCAGCTTGCTCCAAGCCCCATCCAATCTGGCTTTGAACACTTCCAGGGCTGGAGCAGCCACAGCTTCTCTGGGCACCCTGTGCCAGGGCCTGCCCACCCTCACAGGGAGGGATTGTTTTGCAGTATCCAACCTGAACCTACTGTCTGTCAGTTCGAAGCCGTTCCCCTTGTCCTGTCACACATGCTCTTGTAAAAAGTCTCCCTTCCACTGCCACCTCCAGTGCTGCTCCACAAAGCAGCTCTTACCTGCCTGATGATTCCCCTCTCCAGCTCCCTTTTCAGTGCCTGCTTCAGGAGATACCCTCTCCTCTCCAGCTCCAGGGAAGGGTATTTGTGGATGATGTATTTCCTTATTGCAACCACCGAGGCCCCACTCTTCTGAAAGCAGGCCTGAAACAGAAACAAAACATCAGTAGAACCCACCTGCACTGGGACTGTCCTGAGTGGGGCTGGAAGAACAGAGACTGGACTGATGCACAGGGTGCCAGGGCTGGCCTCTTCCTCACAAGGACTCAAGAGCTTAAAAGGACTAATGAAATACTTAACTTTTGCCTTCAGAGTAGCTGAAGAGCAGACAACACAAAGGCAGCACAGCAAGCACACATCAAGCACCCCCTTGCTCTGAAGCACTGACATGGAACGGCTTAAAACAGAAAATACAGCACCTTCTGGCAAACCAACACTGCACAACTGCTAAAGCATTTTATTAACATCAGGCAGAGGAATCACTAAGTCAGAACAAGCTGTCAATTATTTTTTTTAAGAGAATGAAGATTTACAGTACCTCCCTCTGTCCTGAATTAGAGTAAGTTAATGATGAAGAAAGAACACACATCAAATAGATGTCTTAATCAAGATAAAGAAATTTAAATGCATCCAGAAGGCACAGCAAATAACTCATGACAGCAATCCACCAGGTTAGGCCATCCTGGCTGTTTCTCATGATGTAATTAAGGAGGGAAGCAAATTCTAAACCAAGAAATCAGCTACAGGGCCCTTTATCATCCTCATGGACTCACATTTTGGCTCCACAGGCAGAAGCACACACACCTGACACACTGCTGACAGACAGCAAGCTGAAACAGTGCATTTTAGGCACACAAATCGTTCTGCTTTGCAGCAGCAGAACCAAAGAAACACTCGTGTCCCGCTCACCCTGATGGCCTCGGTGAGAATGGCGTCCATTTTGGGCCGGGACGTGGCTGCCATCTGGGTCTGCTTCTGTGCCCGGGCCAGCTGGCTGGCAGACAGCGTGGCCCACGCAGGGATGGTCTTCTTCACCTTCTTCTCCTTCTCCTTGGCCTGCTCCTTCTCGCTTGGGGAGCACACAGAGCAACAGTAAGACAAGAGGCACTAAAACAGAGTCAACAGACACCACCCCCCCAAGCCCAGAATGTCTGCCATTGCTTAAATTAAAATAATTTATAGAATATCTGGAGGTTTCTGTGAGTAAAAGAGAGCCTGTCCCGACATTCAGCCTCACGTGTGTCCTAGAACAGCAGCTATGTATGATCAGCAGCTTCCTCCTGAGAAATATGAGCACCTTAAGGGGCTCATCCCATTTCCCCATCTCTCCCACCACCCTTTCTCTCTCTAAGCCCTGACTTCCTTCAGAATCCTACCCAATTCCCTGAATTCAGCACCAAGCAAGCCTTACTCCTTTTTGGTTTCTTCTGAGGACTTTGTTTCCCCCTTTGCTTCATTCTCAGGTTCCTTTGGCTGTTCTGCTTCATTGGATGCAGCAGGCAGGGTTTCAGTCTCCTGTTCCTCTCCAACAGAGGCAGATTCCTCAGAGGTGACTTCTGCATCTAAAAGATGTGAAAAAGCTTCAAGTTACTGCCTAAAACCAGCTTTCTATTCTTCAGGAGTGTAAAGGGGAAAAAAAAAAAAAGGCTTAAAACACACCCCAAAAATTATTTCCCACTGCTTTCTTTTCTCTAATTTAAATAAATGATTTAAATGTAACTTAAAAAGTGAAGAAAACTACTGATAAGAGCTTTGATAAAGTGCAATCAACCCTCAAATGCCAGAAAACCTGCAAACAACATCATGAAGCATTTTCACAATGAACCAACTCCCCCAGTGTCAGGGGGAATCCTCTCAGCTCCAGGAGTTGCTGTTGCAGCTGTCCCTCAGCAGAGAGGCCTGGCAGGGGAAGGGGGAGGAAACCACTGCCATGACACACTGAGATTCTGCAATAGTTTAAGCATTCAGTGTTTTTAACTCAGGGAGGTGCAGAAACACCCATCTCTAGAGGAAATGTAGATAGACACACACAGGTACTGCCACAGGTCCAGAGAAGCTGTGGCTGCCCCAGCCCTGGGAGTGTCCAAGGCCAGGTTGGACAGGGCTTGGAGCAACCTGGGCTGGTGGGAGATGTCCCTGCCCATGGCAGGGGGTGGAATGGGATGAGCTCTAAGGTCCGTTCCAACCTAAACCAGTCTGGGATTCAATGAAGTAGCTTTGTTTATGACCAAGTTGTCTTCAAACCCAGAAGCACTTGAAGGGTATTTACCATCCCATCCCATCCCATTTTTCCAGGTTTGGGATGCTTTAGATTGCACATGTAACTGGTAGGAACATTTGTGTATCAGAAGGATCAAATCCAGTCAGAAATCAATTTAGCAAATACATATTTAGCTGAGAACAGGCCTTAGAGACCAGGCTGCCTACTAGATACGACGAATATAAACCAAAATTCCACACGTTTTGGATAAAGAGCTGCCCACCATCGCTGCTCTGTGCAGCTCAAGAATTCCTGGAACATTCCCATCACAGCTTTCCCACGGAGGTGTTTAAAATGTACAGTGAATTAAGAGAGGGTTTTGTATGGGATTCAGTTAATTGTGACACCAGAGAGGACAAAGTCAGCGAAACCAATTGTAATAGTGAAGTGACACACTCTGAGACACTGAGGTGAGGCTGCTCAGCCCAGACTGGATTTTATGACACATTGTGGTAAAATGTTTCTGTTCAGAAAAACAAAGAAAAAAATTAAATGCTTTGTTTTTCTGTTCATTAGCTCTACCTTTTGATCTCAAGCCATCATCCTGACACTACTGAAACTTCCCACTTTCTTTACTCTCAAAGATGTGCAAGCTTAAAAGGGACTATATTTAGCCAGATTTTCATGTCTGGAGTGTCAGGACTTTGCCAAGGGGTACGAAAGACAAAACAAATGGGTTCGAGCTGAAAACAGTGTCTGCAAAACACAACTTCCAATAATCCTGGAGAAGCCTGGGACAAGGAGCCAAGCGTTAGTGATGCTTTAACCTTGGCAGTTGGGTTTTTTGGGAGTTTCAGAACACAAGCCTGTGTTTGGCTGCACTTTTTAACAACCCACTGTTGAACTGTTCCATACCTGCTTTGACCTCTTCCCCCTCGGCAGGTTTGCTCTTGGGAGGGGTTTCCCGGGAGGTGGAATTCACGGAGCGACGGATTGGCATCGTGTCGTCTTCGACTTTCTGCAAGGAGCACGTGAAAATCACCACAAGATGCTGGGAAGAACCAGCAAGGTTTGAAACGGGATTAAAGCAAATCAAAGCAGCATAGGTAGAAATGTTCTGGTTTGGATGTTTCAGGATGTTAAAGCACAGTAACCCTCAAACCAGCTCCTTCAAAGCGTACTAGGAGAGGATAGATTCGTATTTTACGGTTATAAAAGAAGCAATTTCAATTCTAAATTAAATGAGAGGTGAGGATTTGGAGAGAGACATCATCTCAGGGAAAGCAGGGAGGGGATGCAGAGTTTGTTAGGCTCCCAGTCGAGTCTCCTGGAAGCAGGGGAGAAAGAGTACTGAGTAACCTTCAGCAGGACTGGAAGTCAAGGACTGATCCAAGGGCAAGCTTGGAGAAAGGGCCAGCCCCTACCTCACTTAACTTGTCCGTGTGGATCAGCTGAGCTCCCGCTAAGAGTGGAAGCGCCTTATGATGCACGGGTTCAGCTTCAGACAGATCAGTCGCCATTTAAATTAATTTCTAGCCCCAACACTGTGGAGCCCCAGGTTTTAACCCCAAGGAACTTTTTCCTAATGGTTTTCACAGTGCAGTGAGGAGTCAACCTAAAGTACAGAAAAGATGGGGTGTGAAAATTAACAAAACAAAAACATCTACGTCCACGCATCTATCAAACTAAAGATCAAAAAGAAAAGGGTAAATGATTTACAGCTCGGGACCGACACAGCTGACGAGCAACACTTGCATTCAACAGAGGGGCTGAAACGTGGATGGGAACTGCAGAGCTACGGATGGAGCAGAGCTGGGGAAGGTGCAAGCCAGAGCTGCTCCACTGAAACATGGCTGAAAGATAAAAAGGCTCTTTAAATTCCGGGCAAGCGTTAGCAAAAAGCAGCCATTGCACTGTGGCCCTCAGAGCCGCTGGGTAAGAGCAGCAGCTGACACAGGGGGTGAGGAATTAAACCATTCAGTCTGTTAGGCAGGAAACACAAACACTGGGGACCCAAACCATGCCCCCACCCCAAATTAAACCCCATGCAGTTTAAAGAAATGAAGGAGGCTGTCGATAAAAAAAACATAACAAACAAACCAGCATTCTGCATGCTTGCCACAAAAAGGGGTAAGCTTTCCAAAACTCTGCTCCAAACACATGCACTGCCATGGATACCAAACAGGTTAAGCTCAGTTTAACCCTCTCCAACTCTCAGTCCTTCCTCCTGTTACACTGTGACAGCCTTTCTTACCTGTTGCCCACCTGCCTGCACTGGCCTCTCCTATGGAGAGGGTTCCACTGATTCCATCACCCAACAGGGCTCATCACAAAATGGGCTCGTTCAGTTCCCCTCCAAAACCCTCAGAGGCAAAGCCTCACCTCCAGCAAAGCAGGGCTGCACCCTCCTCCCCAGTTCCACCCCCAGTCAAGCTCCAGCCTGTGCTCTTCCTCACAGAGAACTCGCCAAATGCTCCCACTGTCCCCTGTGCTGGGTGGGTTTTTGCTCAAAGGGAGGCACTTTCCATACATTTTCACTTTTAATAAGTATTTTGCCCAGTGTGAGTGTTTTGCTCTTGAGCAGAGACCCACCATCGCTGCCAGCCCTGCCTCCAAGATGACTTTCAGCACTGTCAGCAGCTGTCCTGTACCACACCAACACCAATTCCTGCCCCAAAACACAGTCCTCTCATCTTCCAGCACCGGAGATTCCCAATCAGAGGCACTTCTGACAGGAACTGAACAGTCACTGAGAAACCACAGCCTTGCCTCAGCACCGGGGAAAGCGAAGCCCAGCAGCACAGTGTGTTTTCTTCTGAGACCAAACAGAACAACCAAAACACACCACATGCCAAACTCCCACAAAAAAAATAAAAAATAAAAACAAGGAGATGAATGAAGCTTTCCTGTGAAATGTCAGGATGGGGAAAAAAATGCTAATGGCCAATTAGAAAATATGAACTACAGGCCAGCACATTTTTGGCCTGTTTTAAGGGATCATCCTTCCTCAAGTGTGGAAAGGGGGAGGAAAAATGAAAATTTTCACCAGGCTTCAGCTCAGTATCCAATGTTTTTTCATGCAAGCAGAGCCTGAAGTCCTTTAAAAAAATGCCAACATTTTGAAATGAGTCCCAAAACAACCAACTCCAGATGCCTCCTCAGGGAAATCAGCTGGGGGCTACAAAAGGCACATTCCCTGGGATGACACACACAAGCCACACTGGGACTGAGCTGGCCCTGGGTTTTATTTATTTTAAACTGTGTGACCTGCATGGCACGTGCATGAAAATACAGCACTCCCAAACTTTGACTTAAAATCGCCTGAGTTCTCAAAACCTCTTTGTTTAGATCAGCGCACAAACCTTTTTGCTCTGAAGAGTAAAACTTATCACAATTCCTCACTTCTGTGCCTACAGTGCAGGCAAAGAAGGCAGAACCCAGCAGAAATTGTGGATTCCCTCTGCATGGATCATCTCCTGCTCCAAAGGGAATCAAGGGGGCAGGAGGATAATCCCCTCCTGACTTCAAAGCACTGAGAGTCTCCAGGGGCAAAGTCACAGGCCCACCTTGTGAGAGCATCTCACTGCACCTGCTCAGCCCCTTCCTTTCCACACAGGGATCAAAAGTCATTTTCTGCCCTGGGTGTGAAATATCGACCACCAACAGGCCTGAATTTAGCCCCTCAAAAAGATGAAGGTGGTTTTGCAACAGATGCAGAAAAACTCATTCCCCCCTCAAAAAAAAAAAAAAAAATTTTATTGAATGGAAAAATCAAACCACACAAAACATTACCTGAACACCCTATTTCAAAAGACAGCTCTAAACAGGAAGCACAGCTGCAATCACAAGCATCACTCTTAATAACAGTAAAATTAAAGTAATAAGTGTATTTTGATTTATACAAACACCAAACAAACGTTGTGCTTAGAAAGGGGACGAGGCCACCAGCTGAGGATGCAGTTTTCAAGGTGCTTGTTGGACAACTGTCATGAACACTGAAACGTGGTCTACTCAGAAAAACAGAATTGCATCAGCAATGAAACAACCACCAGGATTCACAGGAGCACAGAAAGTTACTCCTCACACAGCTACTCACACCCATTGTCCTAAAGGTCCTTTGAATGCAGGTTCACAGGTTCCCAAACTAAGATGAACCAGTTCTTCCAAAGCTGGTAATCCATCTGATAAGCAGCAAAACCCCCCAAATTTCTGGTTTTCTGGAACGTGTCCAGTCTCCCAGCTCAGGGAATGCCCACTAATGGAAGATCCAAAGGTACAGGGAGCTTTCCAGGAACTGTTACGAGAAACTGTAACCATTCTCTCCTGAGTTATCAGCACATTGTTAGAGCCAAAGGAAAGGGAGGCTTCAAGTGAGACACATTTTGGATAACATTTCAGAAGTGTGCAGTCCCCACACTAATGTAACAGACACGAAAATATTCAAAAAAAAATTAATTTGAGGCACAGTTTGGCTGAGTCCTTGCATTTCTGCTGGCCATAAGATATTTCAACTTATCTCAGCCTTCAATCTCCCTTGGAGGGAAAACGTTTCGGGATCAATCAGGTTTGGAACTCGGCAATCCAAGTGTGAGGCTGCTGGAAATGAGCAATTGGAAAATGAGGAAGCTTGGCCAGTCCTGAGCTGGGGGGTGTCCCCTTTCTGTCACATCACACGAACGGCTGATGGATGCACTGAGATGGGACAGGTATAAAGCACATGACCCCAGTCTAGAAATGAGGTCAAAAAGGGGTAAAAACCAGTTTTTATGTACTTGAAGGTGTCAAGGGATACAAACCCAACGATCTTACAAGCAGTGCAAATAAGAACAACTATTTATTGTCAGAAAGGCTTAAGAAGCAAAGTAAAATTGGATTTAAAAACCAGGCTATTGATTACTGTGCAATTGCTTACTACTCTATAAAGCTGAAGAGCATTTAAACATCTCAGAAACTGTCACTGCTGCTTCCCTGAGCCCTTCCAGCACTCACTGCCCTGCCTTTGGCTTTTCCAGCTGACTGAGCTGGACTTGCTTAGGTCAGACCAGCAGTAGTTGGTCATTTAAACCAGCCTGAAGTTGTGCAAGGGAATAAAATGTGCTATGGGATACAAAATACGAGTTAGTCCCCACTTCTGATCCTTGTCTGGCAACCTGCTCGGAAACTCCCTCACACGTGGCCGAGCACAGCTGGCATTCCCATCCCTTCTGCTGCCATTTACCGGGGTTTATCCCCATCCTGATGGCCACTGCTTTCCTGGGATGTGTCCCAGCTGCCCAGACTTTGCAGCTCATTCAGTCCAAGGGCTGTGTTTGCAGCTCTCCTGCAGTGGAGGCTCCCAGGGATCTGGTCCAGGCTACCTGAGCTGCTGCAGAAAGCAGCTTGTTCCAATTAAACAGGAACAGTGGTCCAGGACATGGATCCAAGAGCTCCCAGGCAACACATTCCTTGGGCTGACTGTGTTACAGTGTCCTTTCCATCCACCCCTTCCCTAAATGGGGTGATGGGGGGAACAACCAACCCCCACGCACAGGGAAAATCCCTCATGCTTGCAGTGTCCAAACAGGAATTCCTACACGCAGACACCCAAAGGAGAGTTTTTGTAAGCACAAAGATCTATTTCCATTCGAAAATACTTTCATTCAGGGTTGAGTTTGGGCCTCTGGCTCCAAATGCTACGAATGCAACCGGACTCACACCTTGCCTGTCCTGACTTTTACAGAGTACAGCAAAAACTGCCCCCCTGCCCTTCTGTGCACACAGATGCTGCTTTCACTGAACAAAAAAAAGGAAAAAAGGGAAAAAAAAGGAGAAAAAAAAAGAAAGAAGAAAAAGGCTCATTACTGGAGTGAGACTGATGCTGCCACCCAGAGCTGAGCTCAGCACTTCGTCCCTGAGAGGGTCTAACACCACCCACCCCAAGCCAGCTCAATCTGCAAAGAGGTTTATTAAAACAGAAGTAAATTCCTGCCTCACCTCCACTGCTCTTCACCCCAAGCTCAGTATAAAATCACTCACAGGTTACAGATTCTCTCCCATCCATCTGTGACCTGCACAGAAGGCAGTGACAGCAGATCGTCTCCGTGGCCTGGATTATCTTCCACTCCTATATCCAGGAGTTTCTCCTCGTGTCCCCACGCAGAGTCACAGCCAGTGTGCACCTTAAATTACAGCACCATCACACCCAGAAATCCCAAAAACTTCAGCCAAGGGATTAATATGAAGCAGAATTTCTGCTTGCACAGCTGTCTCAAAATAGCCTCTGCACTGATGCTCAGGGTTGTGACAGTGACAATCTCTGTGGGACAACAGTTTGAAATGGTTTTTGGCTAAAATGGTCCTTGATCCAGATTCTCCACAGGCTGCCACTGCCACAAGCTGCTGAGGATGAAATCACCCCCATCAGAGTGCACAGGGTTCAGCTTCAGGTTTAAAGCAAGTTTAGGTCACCAACTTTAAACTACTCCAACATGAAAATCTCCTGCTGAAAGTTTCACAGCCTTGGATAAAATGCCTTCATTCAGGATGCAGCTTTATGAATGCTGACAAACTGCTGACAATTGAGTGAAAATTTAGGCTGCAAATGTTACATCTGAACCTTTTACAGGCCATGTCCTCCTTGCCTAGACAGATTAAACTTAAACCCACTGTATAAACCTTCCTCCCAAACTATTACTCAGCCACCACTTATTATCCTACAGACAAAACTATACATGATAAAAGCCATTATTTCTTTGCAGTCTGTATAAAATCTACCTACACCTTACATTAGAGTCCATCAATGGAAAACTTTTATTCTCTCTCATGGAAGTTAAAATCCTCAGAGGACCTCAGGTCACGTGTAACAAAGCACTGCCAAAAGATTCACACATCCCTTTCTGCTGAAAAGGAAAATACAAGAGGAAAAGATATTCTGGACAGAAATAATTTAATGAGCTTCTACCTGAGGAACGTGAACGATGCATTGAGGAGATAATTTAGCACACAGCTAAAGGGGAAAAAGCTGCAAAAGCCACTTTGTTCGAAGCATTTACTCCCAAAAAGAGTACTTCTCACCCCCATTCATTCCTGATTTCCAAGGATCTCCCACTCTATCCACCGATTCCTGAGGAAGGTCAGTGCTCTCCTGCCCGGTCCATCCAACACCTCAGTGCCTGAACTGAGCTCACCTCCCTCTCCTCTCACTGCCCTCCCGGAGGAGTGACAATATTTATAAACACCAGCACTTCCGATCCTTTCCCTCCTCAATGGGCACTGCCTGCCAAGGTCTGCTGGCCACCTCTTTCTTGAAGATGCTAAAAATACTATTTATGGTCAAAACAAACAAAAGTCATGTACTGAGTGCAACTCTTACTCAACAGTGAGATAAGAACTGGGAAGTGACACACTTGTTAACCCAGAGATAACTCGGTAACGCTCCTGAAGAGTGAGAAATACTTGAGTGGCTGCGAAAAACCACAGATAGAAACAAACTACCCAAACTATCGGTCTCTGCTACACTGTATAAAGGAGCGAACACACCCACAACCAACTTTTGCATGGGCCAACTTTTCCTCTCTTGCAGGACGGGCTTAGTGGTTTGCAGACACCGGTGAGGGGGGAAATAGTTAAAATACAGGTGAGAAGCCTCCCTGGTCTGGAGCTGCCCCCAGGTGAAGCAGGTAAGCTGGTGGGGCTACACCAGCTTACACCAGCCGAGATTCTGGCAGCTGCTCCTTCTCTCCTTAAATCTTTATGATGCTTTAGGTATAAAAAAAAAAAAAAGAAATCACAGCGCAGAGTGTCAATACGCATAACAACTGGGAATGGGAGCCTGTCGGGAACAGCCCCGCTCCCGAGTGGACTTTAACAGCCTTTACCACGCCGAGCCTGTGCACCGAGGGGAGGAGGGGCATTAACATTCTTTACCCAGGCTGTGGCCACCTGGGCTCAGGGAGGCTCTCGGCAGCGCCTGGGAGCCTCACGCAGGTCTGTACCCTCACACTCCGGAACCGCCGAGGGCTCTTAGGGACCTCTTTTTAGGAAGCGCAGCCAGACAGAGGTTTCCCCGGAGCGGCGGCACTTCTCGGAAGTGACTCTGTGCAGGAAAAACACCCAAAAAACACCCGCACAGCCAAAGCGGCCGGGAGGCGGGAAGGCCAAGGCGCTGCCTAAGTTTATAAATAGCGATTATTTGTTGTGTCGCGGCCGTGTCGGCCCCTTCCGCCCCTGACCTTCCCGAGGCCCGCGCGGTGCCGGCTCTGGGGCCGCCCGGGCCCCGCAGCTCCTTTGTGAGGCCCCGCCAGGCCCCGCGACACCCGGGGCCGCCCCTCGGGCCTGCGCCGGGCCGAGCCCCCCCAGCGGCACCGCGCCCCGCCCGCGCTGCGTGTCGCGACACCCCGTCGCGACACCCCCGCTGCCTCGGGCCTGTCACGGCGCGGGGGGGGGGGGGTCGCGCTGAGGGCAGTTCCGGGGCCTCTCCGGCGGCGCCGCCAGGCCGCCCCCGCGCCCCGCGCGCACCACCCGCGGCCTCCCGGTGGCGGCCCCGCTGCCGCGGCCGGGGCCGGGCGGGGCCGGGACTCACCGGGCCCGGCGGACAAAGCGGCGGCGCCCTCCAATGGCGGCGGCGGGACCGGCGGGGGCGGAGGGGCGGGGGCGGCGCCGTGAGGGGAGGGGGCGTGGCCGCGGCGGGCGCCGGTGGGGGGCGTGGCCTCTCGCGCCGGCGACCAATGGGAGGCCGCGGGCATTTTTCGAACGCCGGCCCCTCCCGCGCGACGTGGAGGAGGTGAGGGGGCGGGGAGCGCGCGTGCGCGGGGCGAGGGGCGGGGCTGCGCGCGCGCTTCCCGCCGCCGGCGCCGTGAGGGGAGGGCGGCCCCTGAGGGCGAGGGAGGGGGGGGCGGGGATGAGACCCGGCCCAGAGCCAAACCCCGGCCCAGAGCCACGACCCCGGCCCGGAGCCACGACCCCGGCCCAGAACCACAGCCCCGGGGCCGGGACCGTCCCGTCTGACCCTCCGCATCAGCCCCGCCCTCGCCCTGAGCCCTGTCTGACCCTCTACCTCAGCCCCAGCTCACCCTCAGTGCAGCCGGACCCTCAGCCCTCAGCTCACCCCGCCGGGCCCGCTGCCGCGCCCTCAGCCCCGTCAGAACCCTGCGGACGCGTTCCTGTGTCACCCGCCCCAGGTGACCCTGCCTTGGCAGTGCGGTTGGGCTGGGCGGGTCTCCAGAGGTCCCTTCCAACCCCAGCTGCCCCTGATTCCCCGTGTACCCATGGATTCCCTCCGGGAGCGCTCCAGGCTCTATCTCTGCTCTGGCCTCTTGCTTTGTCCGCCTCTTGCCCTCTGTGGTGCCTTCCCTCCCTTGGCCTCAGCCTTTCACCCATTATCACTCATCATCATCATCATCACTCATTAGCTGTGCAATTACTGCCTGCCAATCACACCAGTCCCGGCGCTGAGGTCTGGCTGAAACTGGGAATTCACTGTCACAACACGCTCACAGGCTCTCACATGTGGGGAGGATTCTTTTCCGAGGATCCTTTGCTCTGTTTCAGGCAGTTTTTATCTGGTGTGAGGGTTATCACGGCAAGGCAGAGCAGAGGTGTGACCCACACTCATATTTTCCCCATCACAGTCCTTTCAGGGGTAATAATCAGAAGTTCTTTCTGTGGACCTCCTGCTGTGCTTTTGCTCCGAGTTTATTTTTTTAGCCAGACCTGTGGGCGTTCTTTTTTTTTCCCCCTCTTCCCCCAAATCCTTCTAACTAACCATGACTTTAAGGTACAACTCCTCAATTGCCTTTCCTTATTTTCTTTTCTGCATGCTTGGAATCATGGAATCACTAAGGTTGGAAAAGCCCTCCAGGATCATCAAGTCTAACCCAGCACTGCCCTGTCCATCATTAAACCACGTCCCCAAGCGCCACTTCCACATGCCTTGTGAACACCTCCAGGGATGGGGACTCCACCACGCCCCTGGGCATCCCCTTCCAATCCCTGACCACCCTTTCCATGAAGAAATTTTCCCTGATATCCAATCTAAACCTCTCCTGTCACAACTGGAGGCCATCTCCTGTTGCTTGTTACCCGGGAGAAGACAGTGATCCCACCTGGCTCCAAATACACCACAGCAGGTTTTGTCTGCAGTCTCTCACCCAAACAGTTTCTCACCTTTGTTTGCTGCACATAATCTTTACTCATCTGCTGCCATCCTCCCTCTCCATCAGCGTTTTTGCCATCTGAAGACCATGCAGGCACTCACCCATTTATTTAGGCACTTTTATCCCTCCTGTAATGGGAAGCCCCTCTCTGAGCACATTTAGAAGCATTTACACCATTCAAAGCACCGCAGAGGTGTCTTATTTCTGCAAAAATGCTTTGACTGTTTCTTCTCTAAGCTTTTTTCCCCCTCAGGTGACAGCTATAAGTGTCCTACACCCAAGAATGTCACCTTTCTAAAGCCTTGTGACCAAGGCCTGGCCCTGCTCAGCCCCTTCTTCTCCATTCCAGATGATCCCTGGGATGCTTCCCTTTGTCTCCTGGGCTGAACAGCCCTGGAAGCAGCTGAACCAGCCGGCTCCACTTTGCTGAACATTCCTGTCTTGCCTGTGAGTGTGAAACAAGGCCTGTGCAACTGCAGAAAAATGTGTTTCTTTGGCCTTTCTCCCCCTGCGGTGCCTCTCTGGCAGGAGGGGAAGGTGGAGGAGAGGGGAGGGAGGGGGAATGTGCTCCTTTACTGCCAGCTTTTAAAACACCAAGAAAGAAAAGATGAAATCATCCCAGCAGCCTCACTGCGAGGCCTGGGTGAAGCCCCAACAAGCCCAACACCTGTGCTGGCTGAGCCACAGAGCTACGAGCAGAGGAGGGGCAGAGCTTTTGTTGTCTCCTTCTCTGTTTTTTTACCTCAAAATTCACCCCCGAGGGGAGCAGCAGGCTCTGCACACTCCTTACAGCCACGTTATAGGATCACAACCCACTGCTCCATCTCCCCTGCCCCACTTTTTGGGCAGGTTTGGGCCATTTGTGTCCCCTTCCCTGTTGCCCCAGGGCCACACAGAGCGTGTGAGAGCGGCAGGAGTGAGGCTGGGGGGGAACCTGTGAGCCAGCACAGGGGGAAGGAACAGGGAAATCTGAACGGGAGCTGCACTTGATCCTTTCCAAATCACAATATCCTGTGATTCTTCTGGGAAATCCATGGCCAGGGAGCCAGACTGGAGCAGGGAGCTGCTGCCAGAGTTATTTGTGATGGTGTAGAGCTCTATTGTCATCAAAAATACTTCTGGTAAGTATTAAACACTTCTAGTAAGTACTAAGCACTCTAAATAAGTACTGAGCCTTTTTAATACCTTTCCTGCCCTCTCAGGTGCCACTCACTGGTAGGATTGGTTTTTTTCCTGAAAATCACTCCATTTGATTACATTTTGCTATCCTTTAAAGCTTTCCCAAATCTGCCCACAGCTTTGGGCTTGGGTTGTGCCACTCACAGTCTGAACCAGATCATTCAGCCATGGTGCTTTTGTTCCCAAGGAGTCCCTGGGGAATTTCCCTGTCAAGGGATTTACTGTTTCCACCCGGTATCCAGAGCAATGCCACATGTTCTGGGCTTCTCCTGAAAACATGGAACCTGTCGTGTTTCTGTTTTAAACACTGGTTTAAATTATGTTTTAAATCTGCCTGCAGAAACTCCAGCCCAGGGGCTACTTTGTTGACTTTCTTACCCTACACCAACTCATATTTTCCCCATTTCCCCCCATTTTTTATTTAAAGCGAACACTTTCTGATTTACCAAGCATGGCTTAACGTCCACCTGCCACATACTGTGCAAAGTTTTTTATTTGCTTTGTCCCACTGTGCACCTGCTTAAATCAGCTTCTCCCAGTCCATTCTTGATCCTGCCGCATCTTTGTTGCCAAATTCTCTTTCAGCATTGACCTGCAGCTCCAGATTTCAGCTCTGGTTATATTCAGGCCTTGCCTCTGGTGTTGCCACCCCAAGGTTTTGGTGATTTTTTTGCTTTTCCATCGTTTCCCCAGCTTTGCCTTTATTTTAGGAAGCCTCCCCAGGCCACTGCTTTTCCTGAGACACCCTAGTTTGAAATAGCTCCTCGGTGCTGACGGGGCGGGTGCTGTCGTCACTGGGACAGCAGGAGCTCCAAGTTACGACTCTTTTTTGACACCCCTTCTGGCATTGCAGCAATTCTTTATTTTGCTCAAAGCAAGGCACGTGAAGTGACAGCTCCACTAAGCACCAAGAAGCTGGAGACCACCAAACCCCTCCCACAGCCACCCATTCTTACACCTCTGGCAGTGAGAATTTCCCTCACTTTGAGCCTGTTTCAGACCCAAACTGGTGAGCAGCTCGCAGGGGCTGCTCCCCTCACCTGGGCAGGTAACAGCCTGCTGTCACACCTCCCAGCTGGGTGCTTTGGCAGCCACAGGAGCTCACTCTTGGCTCCACAGCCACGAGCAGCCTGGCTGGGCTCTGGCCTGGCTGGCTCAGAGCAGTGCCCTGCCAGGGAGCCGTGCTGGGGAGAGACAAACCCTCGGGGCTGAGCGGGAATGGGAAGCTGTTTTGGTGCTGCTCCTGCTGGAAGCGGATGGCCAGCTCTGGAGCTGATCACCTGTTGCTCTGGGGAGTCTTGTCGATTGGTTTCCCTTTGAGATGTGTCAGCTGCAGCTCAGGCTCCTGCTCGGAACATCCACCCTGCAGTGCTGGAGGAGGCCTGGAGGGTCGGATGTGTTTCCCTAGAGGGCGGGTAAAACACTCCGCTCCTGTTCTGTGCAGGTGTGTGGAATGCCCTGTTTTTCTGCCCCCACTGTGTGAGAACACCCCAGCCAGGGCTGTGAGGCAGCAGAGCAGAGCTGTGTGCTGTGTCTGTCTCCATGAACCACAAGGCAGTGGTGTCACATCCCTGTGGAGCTCTGGGGGCTCAGTGCCCGCTCCATTCACAGACCACACTCCTGGTGAGGTTTGCTGTTTCCCTGCACTCACACGAGTGGGAAGTGCCTGGAGTGATGGATTTTTCACTTTATGCCATCTATAACAGTACAGAGCATTCACACCTGGTGCTATTTCAGAACAGCTCACTCTGCAGTACTGAAATGACCCATTTGCCTTCAGGGGTGAGACCTGAAGGTACCTGTGACATCTGCTGAGATGATCTTTGCAGTCCCTTCCAGCTGTCCTTCAAAAAGCTGTGATAAACCCCCTCTAACAGTGCTCTGCCCCACGTTCA